ATCATTGAAGGGTTCAAGTATGACAAACTCACAAACTGAGGATCAGCGTGTGCTGAGAGTCCGTATATGCATGTTATGTGAGTGTTGGCACTTTATCTCGAGTGTACGTTGTCAATAAACCAGCATATAGTATTCTCAGGAATTGAGTATCAGTAGATTTCGGACTCGGGCGTAAGTAAGTCACCCTTTCATACATTGGTTCCCATTTTTTGTAACATATCGCATTTTTAGGTCAACTTCACTCAAATCGGCACTGACCTTTGTGGAAGTGCACCTTGTTCCATTCATGGCGCACTTCGCATATTTTTACTTTTTTGTTATTTATGTTTTTGAGACGAGTCCTTTACTAAAAATCTTAAACGTCGAGTTTAGTCTAGGTTGGACATTAGACGTATGAGCCACGTGACGCATCGACCCACCTTCGCGTTCAACGCTTTCCTTTTGAAGGGCTAGGACTTGATCAGTACGCTTTCATTTTTTTTGTCTTTGTATTTATTATTCTTTTAGTGCTTGTATTTTTGACAAAGTCCGTTGAACCGACGCTCGTTCTGAAGACTAGACGGTAGGGTAGAGCATCAACGTTCGGGACATCCGCACTGAGGGCGGCAGTCGCGCACGCAAATAGACCTCTCCCGACGTTGTACGTTCCCCGAGTTATTCCTAGTCCGAGGATTGTGCTGAGGGAATGCGTGAGTGATGTCATTTTTAATTTTAATTCTTCTTTCGCTTTTCTGTACAGAACTTAATGACTTCTTTCTATTTTTACCTTTTCCCCAAAGTTTTGGTCAGGCTGCATGAGAGTACGTGCGTAGCCTTGTGATTTCGATATTTTTGTACAGTATAAAGGTGCCCTCCCACCTCTCGAATGGAGCTGTCTTCTCCCCCTCACCTTTCAGTCTGAGCCTCAGTTGACCATTGGCATTCTCATAAGATTTTAAGAGTTTTACATCGCTTTCTCAAGTTATTTTCAAGCTTTCCGCTTTACGTGCACAAAGTATCTTTACGATTCGTCGAAGCAACCTTCAACGGCGCGTTCCTGGACGCGCTCACCGCTAAGTTCCTCATTTAGCATCTACCTTTCTCCCTCCGTTTTAAGGCCTTCCCACACTTTCACTGGCGCTTCCGTTCTCGTCCTTCCCTTTGTCTTCGCCTTATTTCCTCGCTCGACGTACCTCTTGTGCTTTTTGTGCAAACCTTTCGAACGTTCTTCTCGCTCCTTTCTTTTCTGTCATTTTACTCTGGTTCTTCGTAGACGACCAGATCACCTGTCCTTCAATTAAAATTCTGTTCTTCCACACCTGCATTGTCTATGTATTTGCTCTTCAGCTGAAATGCACTCTTGTGTGTCTCCATGAAACGAGCTAACTCAACAGGCACCTCTGATGAGATCGGTGGATGAATTGGAGGTTAACGACTTAGAGAATGCCCAAAGAAAAGCCGGGCATGACTGAATGATTGGAAGTGAGTTGACCCCGATCTCATACTTCCAGTAACTCTAGAGGGCTGATCTATCGCCATAGTGTTCTTCGTGCCCAGCGATGTCAAGGACGCTCACCAGCATGAATCTGCGCTCAGAGTGACAAATGCCTACAGTTCATCTCAGGGTCTTGTCCTTCCTCTTCTGGGGTCCAAGCCTTTTTCCACTTCAACTTCCTGGGTCAGCAGGCCAAGCGAAGTCGATGTCCGCATATTCCACAGCCCCCAATTCCCATGGCATCATCCCACTCCATCTCCAACAATCACACCTCTGGCTCACACAAGCACCCCAGATTGGACAGAGGCGCAGCTGTTGCCTAGAGCCGGTCTCCTCCAGACAACTACAGCCACCACGCAAGCCCTATCTCCTTCAGCTGAGGTCAAAGGCTAGGGGGGTACTGCCAGCATGGGCTGTGCGAATCCTCACACCACCAGCCTCACCCAACGTCAAGCTCACAATACACACCGTTCTTCCCTGGTTTGGGCCATACCCCTCCCCCACCCTCATTCAACCCGCTCTAATCCGACTGTCCGCCCCCGCGCTCTTCGACTTGTTCCTCAGGTTTTGAACCCCACTGCCAGGAAGCACTGTCTTCCAACCATGATAGCAGAATGCGCACCTGCCACCAATTGCACTAGGGTCCTCCTAGTGGTGGGGGTAGTGGTGGAGGTGCAGGCGGACAAAGCGATCTTTTCGCTGCTTCTATGGACAGGAACAAATGTTCAGGTGGTGGGAGACCAAACACTGCTGGAACGGGATTGGACTGACCTGTCCATGGACCAGCTTTGAATGCACCTAATCCAGTTTAGCATTCCCCTTCCTTCAACTATTAGTTTCTCTGACGAACTGTATAGTACCCAATCTACCTCTCATCTTCATCTACACTCTCAGGTGTAGCCGACGAGTCAGGAAACCAACTGGCTTAACTTCCTTTCTGGCAATAACTCTACCACTCCATCTGGCAACTCCAGCAACACAGGCACGTTATGGGAGCACGGAGATCGCGTTTCTGGTGGTGGTGTCACCAACATCACAGAGATATTTGGTGGCAGACAAGATGGGAGCCTGTGGGGACCGTCCCCACTTGGGGTGTCCATTAGTGGTGGAGGGAAGAGAGGCTTACAGGGCATGGGGATCTTGAACTCTCCCGTTAGTCAAGGGGGAGTTGGCAAAGAGAAAGGGTAAAGATTGTTGATCATTCTAAGTCAAAGCTACCGAATGGACTTTTTATTAAAAGGATGGACATGTAGCCTTTTTATAAGTTATCTATTGTGGGGTCCCTTTAAAATCCTTCTGCTGGCCATTAGACTCTTATTTACTACATAGTGTTGCTTTGATGGAACAGCCTTGCACACATTAATGGCGAAATTAGAATCAATTGAATTGGTTTGAAATATGTGATTGGGGGATGTCTCGGCAGTGTGAAAGAACAGATGTAAAGACTTCAAAGGGTGGACACTGTAGCCATAATTTGCCCAAACCAAGTAGTGAATGATAATTATGAAGCTACAGAAACACATACTCCCAGCTGGAGAATCTTAAGCAATGCACAGAGTCCATGCCTGTTGCCCTTCACGTGGCAACTCGGAAGCCCAAAGCAACTCCTCAGCTCATCAATGATAAGCCGTCAATGCAGGCGATTGAGTTCCAGGGCATGACAAGAAGACGAATGATTGCCAAGAGACTGGCTCTCTTCTTCGAGCCCATCTCGCGAGTGATATTCGTCGATTTGGGGGGCCTTAAATCCTCGTGCATGTGGCGTGGTGATAACGCGAATCTGGAGGGAGTCCTAGGTAGGATTTGACATCCAGATGCACATACTACCTTTGCCGGAAGTTTGAACTCGTTACTCAGTGCTTCACAGAATTGGGGTTGGGGCCACATTGGTTCACATTTGCAGGGGGAATTGGGGTGTACCCATATCTATGATGCATGATGCGTGACCGGGTTGAGATCAATAGTATTATGGGACATACCACTTGAAGAATTGGGGGTTCAGGCTTGTTGAACAGTACGGAGTTTCAGTGAATGCTTATCTGACCTGACATAAGTCTGAGTCGAAGACAATGAGACGTATCGGTGCTTGTCCATAGAATTGTGGCGTCAATTTGGTAAATGCTATGAAAAGTAGGACTCGGAGTGTATCCTTATCTGCCGATAAGTCAAAAGTGCATCCTTGAGCTCAGTGCTTGAAGTAACACCGTTTCAGTAACTACGACCCATGCCGGAGGAGTGAGTTTGCCCATGGATCCGAGTCGTGGTCAACAGCCTGTCAAAGTTGGGTGCATCAAGAACTTGAAATTTTGAAGGCATTGGTTTGGTACAATACTTTCCATTCCTCCACTGATTCCTACTGGAATCCACGGAATCCCTAGATTCCGGCCGGAATCGACAGGAATCCAACTGGAATCAACAGAAATTGAACACTAGGACTTCTGGTTAATTAATTTTGGACCCTGAATCTCCTTCTTTAGGTCAGACAAATAGAATTGTAGCACTAAATCTTTTACTAAACAAGGGCATAAGGCATCCGACTAGTTACTTACTACTACATGGATTTATTTATTTCAATCAGATTCAGAGACATTAGATTCTGCATGTTGTTCATCCAAACCCAAGTCTATGTGACTTCATGCCTATCATATTTATTGTAAGTCTAATGTAGTCAGCCAATTTATTATTATATCTTGTCCTATAATAACCTCACAAGTTTCTTCTTAGAACAGTTATATAGATTCAAATTCT